CCCTAGAGACACTGCACCCCCTCACACACTTTGCACCCCCTCACACACACACACACACACACACACACACACACACACACTCCACCCTTAAAAACAGACACTTCACCCCTCACACACACATTGCAACCTCTTACACACACAAATACATTGCAACCCCTCACACATACTGCATCTTTCACATACACACTGCCCCCACACACTGCAACCAATTACACACACACATTGAAACCTCTTACACACACACTGCACCACACATACACTGCATCCCCAGACACATACACACACTGCACCCCTCACACACACATTACAACCCCTCACACACATACGGCACCAGTTCACACAGGTTGCAATCCCTTACACACAAAATGCACCCTTCACACACACTACACCCCACACACACATTGCACCCCCTCACACACATTCCACCCTTAAAAACAGACACTTCACCCCTTACACACAATGCAACCCCCCACACACTTCACCCCTCACACGCACATTGCAATCACTTACACACACAAACACATTGCAACCCCTTACATACACTACACCCCTCACACAAACACACTGCACTCCTCACATACACACTGCACCCTTCCCACACACACAGAGAAGAATACCATTCTCGACTTTAAGCTATAAGTAATTAAACGCTTGTCCTATGACATATAGAGTCTTAGATAAGCAAAATCCTTAAATATGTTATCTAGAAGTGGAAAAACACAGCTCTAGCAATTATGTTGTTACATACAAGATGATAAAGCAGTGAATCACAGGGAATGCTTCTATTTTAAGGCTAGAAACTATTTTAGTTCTAGGGTGATTCAACTTAATTCTAAATGGATTCTGTCTAGTTTCCTAGTGCTTCCTGAGATTTATGGAATTATCCAGTTAGAGCCAGTAATGATTGTTATATATACTTAATATTGAAACATATGGTCCATTAATTAAAAATATGAGTGGTTGTTACTCATTTATTTCACTCCTTTACTGCCTGCTTGACTCAGTTGTAGTGTCAACAACATACAGGACAGATCCAATGGGGCTTTAATGCTGGAAATTATTTTAGAGAACCATCAACAACATGATTATATTGTGTTCATGGGCTTAAAAAGGTGTATTAAAAAATTCCAGATAATATTTTTAGCTAATACTGATTGCACCTGGTTAGTTAGACAAAGGCAGAGAAAGAAAATTCCTCTTCACTATTGCAGTAATCAGACTACCCATTTCCTATCATCCATCGACAAAAAATCAGAAAGTGATTTTAAGAGGTGACTAGCAGTAGGTCTAGCCTGATATTATCCTTGTTATTTAGAAAATGAGTGGTAAACAAAGAGGTAACAGCATAGTAGTTTACAAATAAAAACACCAGCTCCCTCCCATCACAGGCCAGTAAAGTAAAATAAAAACTAATATTCCCAAAAAGAGAAAAAATTTAGGATCTGGAGGACTAGTCGCCATGTTTAGCTGAAAGAGAAAACGTCTAGGATTTTATTTTTTAATGTTACAATTCCATTCTAGTTAATATCTCGAGTGTCAATTACCAGTTCGTATTCTTATATCTGTGAATTTAATTAATGAATGAAGCATTAATGTGTGTGGCATGTTAGCAGGTCATTTAATTTATTAAACACTGTCTAAGGTGTTGTACTCATTTAATAGCCATCTATAAACAAACTACAAATTAAAACAAATTCAGGAAATTTGATTATGTTAATGATTACCAAATGTATATGTGGCTTCTGATATAAATAGATGGCTTTCGAAATTTTCTAATTTGACAAATTTTGTAGGATTGGAGAGGAAAAAGGTGGAATATGTATTTCTTAAAAAGCTCTAGATGTAATTAAACATTGCTGGTTACAATTTTCAAACTAGCTATATATATATAAATATATATCAAAAAGTATTAAAATATTACGTAATTAAAATATTTGTCCTAATTTTAATTAATTTGAAAAACGAACACAACAATACTAAGTCAGGGCTTCTGATTTACAAACGTATTTTTAACGTTAGAATGTTTCCATACCTTTTCACAAGAGCCACTACATTAAGCTGTAGTTGTTCTGTCGTTTAGTGCTTCCCTTTAAGACATCTTGCAAGTGAATGTCCTTGTGACATCTTGCAAGTGAATGTATATTCATTTGTGAATCATATGAGGCATAGGAAATTGTTCAAGAGGAAAAAAATGTAAATACAATAAACTTGCAAAGGAAATGCAGTAGACAGAGGATGCCAGTAAAACATTGCTTGAAAGATATATAAACTGCATTTCTCAGAGATTTATTTTCTGTAATGCAAAAGAAAAATGTCATGCATATTTTTATTGTAGTTTGTTTATTGTATTCTGCATGTGAAGTGATAAGTTAAGAGCTCAAAGTTATCTAAGATCTTTCAATTTACTTTGTTCTACAGCAGGGCTAGGCAACCTTCGACACTCCAGATGTTGTGGAATACAACTCCTAGAATTGGACTACATCTCCCATAATTCTCTTACAACCATAATGCTGGCAAAGCATCATGGAAGATGTAGTCTACATCATCTGGAGTGCCACTGGTTACCTATCTGTATTCTATAGCATAAAAAATAGCAAAAATCAATCAAGCAACCACAGAAAACTAGTGCTAAAATGAGAAGCTCTAAATAAAGGATTGGTAAGGTATAACTATAGCATGATAACATGATAACAACAATAGTCATTTTGTGTTACAGTAATGGTCACACATAGAGTTGAGTGAACCCGGACTATAAAGTTCGGGTTTGAACCGAACATTAAGTTTTTTGAACCCCGGACCCGAACACGGACATATCACTGTATGTTCGGGTTGGAGTTCGGTGTTCAGCGATTTAATGACGCGTTTTCAAAGGCTGCAAGGCAGCCAATCGTTTGACTCGTGTGCCCTTAGAAGCCATCATAGCCATGCCTACTAATGGCATGGCTGTGATTGGCCAGTGCAGCATGTGACCCAGCCTCTATATATAAGCTGGAGTCGCGTAGCGCAGCAAGCACATGCGGTCTTATTAGTGTAGGGAGAGGATGCTGCCGCTGATAGGGACAGCTTAGGAAAGAATTCTGCAAACTAGTACATTAGTGGGGTGGGGTGCACTTCATATCTGAGAGTCAAATAGAAGCTTCAAATACCGCGGTTACATCTGAGTTTTAAAAAATCTTTTTTTTTTGGTGCTAAATAGTACATTAGTGGGATAGTACATTAGTAGGGTGCACTTCCTATCTGAGAGTCAAATAGAATCATCAAATACTGCTGTCACATTGCAGTTTTAAAACTTAAAATGTTTTGGGTGCTAAAAAGTACATTAGTGGGGTGCACTTCATATCTGAGAGTCAAATAGAAGTGTCAAATACTGCTGTCACATAGCAGTTTTAAAACTTAAAATTATTTGGGTGCTAAACTGCTAAATAGTATTTTAGTGGGGTGCACTTCATATCTGAGAGTCAAATTGAAGCGTTTAATAGTGTGCTTACAGCACAGTTGTAAAAATTCTAATTTTCTGGGTGCTAATCTGCTAAATAGTACATTTTGGGGCCTGCGGTGCACTTCATATCTGAGAGTCAAATTGAAGTGTCTAATAGTGTGCTTACAGCGCAGTGGTAAACATTCTTATTTTCTGGGTGTTAATCTGCTAAATAGTACATTTTGTGGCTTGCTCTTCATATCTGAGAGTCAAATAGAAGCGTCTAACAGTGTGCTTACTGCACAGTTGTAAACATTCTAATTGTTTTGCTGCTAAATAGTACATTTGCGACCTGCGGTGCACTTCATATCTGAGAGTCAAATCGAAGCGTCAAATAGTGCGCTAACTGCGCAGTTGTAAACATTCTAATTGTTTTGCTGCTAATCTGCTGCTTACATTGGAGTTTTAAAAAGTCAGTTTTTTTTGGTGCTAAATAGTATATTTGGGGTGTTCACTTCATATCTGAGAGTCAAATCGAAGCGTAACTCTGATTCGAATTTACTACATAGGTGACTTGCAATATTGTTTCACACCTACAACACTTGTTACACAGATCTAAGTGATAGAAAACAGATTGATATTTTCTACACTAGAAACTACCAGATAACAAGCTGCTATATTTAAACCAGTTATCAATAGCTAAGAGGTACTTCAACAATATTGTAATTCTGGGGCAATACCCTCACAAGTCAAACTGAGAGGTCACTTTATAGGGAAAACTGTTGCCTGGATACAATTCTAAAACAATTTCCATATGTCCTTTGCAGACTTTACATGCTGGAAAAACACAGGTGCCAACTGCTGTGGCTTTCTGCAGTGTGCATACTGGCAAGGAGGGCAGGGTTGAGGAGTGGGTGGAAGATGATGTGGAGGATGATGAGGTCCTAGACCACACATGGAATCAAGGTCATGCGAGTGACGTGTGCAGTTTGGAGGAAGAGGCGTTGGTCGCACAGAGGCACCAGCACAGCATAAGAGGGAGCAGGGTGCAAAAGCGGAGTGGCCGTCCCCTAGCGCTCATCGGCATGTATTAGCTCAAGAATTACCAGTTATCCAAGTAATACATATAGCGATCAAAGGATCCATAATAGAGTTGAGCGAACCCGAACTTCGTACCAGATTTAACAATCCATTCGCCATTTCACAGTCAGGTGGGAAGTCCTGTGACAAGGACCCAGACACTGTCTGGACAGCGGTCGGACGATGTTGAAGTTAGGAGTCACAGTGTGGAATGGATCAGCGGGGTCTGGTGAAGGGTAACCACACACCCCCTGCTGTTAAGCACCAGCATTTGTGCGGCCACATACCAGGACCCTGATGCAGCTTCAGTAAAAAGAGTACTGGATACCAGAAGCCATCACCAGACAGATTCGGAACTTGGAACAGGATGTTACATTCACTGTAGCGGCTGTGCGCGCTTTTGGCGTTCTCACCCTGCTGCTGCTCACCTGTCTGCGCTGCAGCGTAACTTCGGCCTTCTTGCTCACCGCCTCATGAGACTGTGCGAGCAGCAGCAGGCAATAGTGGAGTTTCAGCTGCAGCACACACGGGTCAGTGGCTCTGCACCAGACTTCCCTCCAATTGATCAGAGTTAAAGGAGTTCAAGTGGACTCCTTACAATTAGAGGGCCTCTAAAGAGTCCTGTATTGTTATTTGTTGTCACTACCTTCCCGCGATGGGAGTGGGTCATTTACGCGTCTGCTGCCTTCCTTGCACGTGGTAGCCGTTTCTCAGGGTCCCTGTACGGAATGGAACCCTGATTCCCCATTACCCGTGGTATTTAAATATATCTTGTTGAGACAGGTTAAATTTTTGGTTCAATTTATCAAAAGATAATATTTGATAATTCTCACATATTTCCCCTATTGTACATTCCCGTTGTTTAGTCCAACTTCTTAAATCAATGTCAGGCATTACTGTCTCCAATATTCTAATATTAGAACCTTCATGAATCTTATTATTAATTTTCAGATCTTTCTTTATACCTTGCCATTCTTTCAATATTTGTGATATTATTAAGGAATTCTTTGTATCATTAATACTTGTATTCCTTCCTATATCATTCCACAATAGAAAATCCAGGTTATCAATGCCTACTCTACTTGCTTCCAATTTATACCACACCTGATCCTTTAAATCGCCAACTTGTAATTTATGGGCGTGGATAATCATATTCACCTGATAGATGTTTCTGATTATCGGATATCCTATATCCCTGTGATGGACTTTTTTGGACAAAATCCTAGTATTTATTCAGGGCCCTGTATCCCTCTAGATATAATTAGTAAAGCTGGATTGTATGATATCTAACAATTGATTTGGGATTGCCAGTGGCATAATTTGAAATAAGTATGCCCACTTGGGGGGATATATGCTTTGGTAGTATTAATTCTCCCCCACCAAGAGATTTCATAATATCTCCATTCCCTTAATAGTATGTTGGTATGTTTAATGAGTCTTAAAAAATGTACTTCCATTATCCCTTTTGGATCTGAGATAATATTTATACCCAAATATCGTATGGCCTTTGATGTCCAAGTAAGATCAAAATCCTTTTTAAGTCTTTTAAGGTTATCTGCTTCAATATTCGATTCGATACAATACCATATCTTTTAAATTCCTGCATTAAATGTGGTAGAGAGAGATGTGGATCTGTTACTGACATAAGAATGTCATCATCATATAGACATCTTTAATTCCCTGTCTTTTAATATCACCCCTTTGATCTAAGGGTTGCTTCTTATATTGATAGCAAGGGGTTCTATAAATAGTATATATAATAAAGGGGATAAAGGGCACCCCTGCCTCATTCCATTTGATATATTGAACCCATCCTTTACTAAAATCCTGTCCCACCAAACTAGCTGAAGGGGATGAATATAACGTACCAATAACATTAGCTATCCAGTCTTTTAGACCAAATTGGGCCAAAACCTTCCTCAAAAATACACCCCTCTGACCCTGTCGAAGGCCCTCTTTGCATCCACCGACAGGGTCAGAAGGGGAGCTCCTTCCTGCTGGGCCCAGTCCCATATGTCTACTACCTGCCTTGTATTATTACATGACTGTCTTCCAGTTAGAAAACCTATCTGGTCCAGGTGAATGACTAAAGACAGAATCTTTTTAAGTCTTTCCGATAAGATCGAAGCATATATTTTCATATCTATATTAGTGTAATAGTAAGTGGAGCAATATTATTAAGGATAACGTATACAAATTGATTGTGATCTATCTTCCAATAAATGGTTTTTGAAATATGGAATATGAAAGAGAAAGAATAAAAAGAAAAATGGTGTAGATTGTTTTACACAGTCACTCTATTAATGCATAAATTCTTAAAAGCATCCTATATTGATATCACATACAGAATTAATCTATGTTCAACAGTTTTATACACATAGGTCTGTACAATGAATATTGTGTATAAATATACACTGATCCTACAATGATAGATTATGCAGAGTTAAAGAGTATAAAAGTTACTATTTTTATCCAAAATAAATTATAAATAAAACAGACATAACAAAGAGTGGATAAAATAGTGAGAAGCTCAGCCTCTTACTAGAACAGATGGTGAGTTATTCCGGCATACGCCGTTACTCACTAAATGAGCTCAATATGGGTGGGCTGCAGGCATCTTCACGAGCGGAATGATGTTGTGGTTATGCTGAATCCGGCAGTGTTTCCTCTGCGTCTTTTTTGGCAGATTGCTTTCTTTGTCACCGTGGGTTACTAAGTCCGCAACCTCCTCCCCTCTCTATGACGTCATTGCGTTTCGCCGTTTACTGCTTCCTCAGGATGTGTTACTGGCTCCATGTTGGACATGGGTATATAAGTTCTTACATTCCTATTGCTTGTCCCAAAATGCCCTATTTGCAAAAAAACAAAAACAACAAACTTTATTCATAAAGAGGCACAGACTAGTATGACTATGTCCTTCAATTTTTGGAGCTGGTCAAAATGACCCACATATTCCTGAGAGGAGAACCTATGATTATGGGGACCTAATGAACCAACTATCAAAAAGAATGCTGTCTTTCTCCAATATCAGGTCATGTAATACCCAGTTTCCCCAAATCTACATTATATTGAGGTAAGATCAGTCCCTATTCATAAGGATAAAACCATCCATTCAAACAGTCCTAAGGGGTGCCCACAACATGTCACCATTACTATGCCCCTGCCTTCCCCCTACCTTCTTAATATACATAGGACCTTTAGAATCCAAGTGACATGATCATAGTTACATAGCTGAAAAGAAGCATGTGTCTATCAAGTTTAGTCTTTTTCACATTTGTTTTTGCTGTTGATGAAAAAGAAGGCAAAATTCACTTCTTGACCCCAAAATGGCAGTCCGATATCTCCTTGGATCAAGAAGCCATTACCCCACTAATTAAAAATTATATCCCTGTATATTATGTTTTTGCACATATTTATCCAATTGCTGTTTATACATCTGTATAGCCTCTGATAAAACCACCTATTCAGACAGAGAATTTCACATCTTTATTTTTCTTACTGTAAAAAACTCTTTCCTTTGTCTTAGACTAAATCTCTTTCCAGTTGAAATGCGTGACCTTGTGTCCTATTTATAGTCCTATGTATGTAGCATTTGTGGGGTAACGTATGTTGATTGATTATTTCCCTTTTTCTTCTTTTTCTCCCCTTTCTGTTTTCCCAGAATCCAGGGTGGGTGGAGGACAGCGAGACCCCAACCAAGCTGTAACGCTGGAAGTGCTACAGTGCTGATGGTGTCTGGTGCAGTGCTTGTGGTACTCGGTAAGCACTAAGGAAGCAGTGATTGGTAGAGGCACCCAATAAGGGTGCCAGGTAGTCCTTCACATCTGGTGGCAGAAGTGGGATGGCTTCGTAGTGCGAGGAGAAGCATCATGGAGACACCGGTATCGTGTGGATAATAATTGAGGGCAACGCTAGTACATGTACAGCGCCCCTTACTATAGCAGTATGGAACCAGCTAGTTCCCAGACAGCATTCCTATATGAGGAGGAGGATGAACCAGACTGGAGGGATGCAGCTAGGAAGGACGTCTGGTATTAGGCCCTGGAGAGTACACAGCATCGGAGGGGCGAGAGTCTCCCCAGTGAGGAGCAGTGGCTACAGATACGAGTGGCGCTGTGGATGCCTCTCCTGGGAGAGCAGCCTCTGGAAGAGTTGGTTGACGGAGCTCGAGAGCCTGGTATGGAAGGAGCTTTGGTTGGTCTACCTATACCAGGCGCTTTGTTGGTACACGGTTCGGCATGCCCCATGGATGGCTGAGCACGACAGACCCAAGGGTGAGGATAACAATGGCCCTGGCCTGTTGTGAGAGTCCTTTGCAGAACCTGAGTTTGGAAGTACTGGAGAGTCCTGATTCTGGGACATCTATAATTACAGGAAGGGCATGCATGATTGGGATGACGCTAAAGAGGTGAGACAAGACCTGACATCTCTGGCGACAATTGAGTGGGAGCTGGAGCAGGATTGCCAACACCTGCTCTGCTGAATTAGGCCCCAATCTACCCTGCAGGAAGAGCATTAGAGCTGGGTGTCAGACCCAGACCTGCCATCCTACAGCTGGGAAGACCTGGCTGAGGTATCCCCTACTTCACTACCAGCTGCAGAAGAAGGGGACCTCATAAACTGGTCCGGGGAAGACCAGCAGGCGGCAGGTGGAGATGGGACCGAGGTCTCTTCACCAGCCCTACAGGGCTGCTGGGCAGCCAGCCCAGATCCCTAACTACAGCCGGAGTTACCGGGAGTAGGGACAGTCGGTCCCACTCCCAGCGGCAGTGTACCATGCAGGGAGAGGAGAGAACAGGTGTCTCTCCCCAGCAGCAGCCAGACTTACAGGGGGAGGAGATGATCGGTCCCTCTACCCTACAGCAGAAAGTGGCCTGGGGAGTGGAGGCAACCGGCCTCACCCTCCAACAGCAGCTGGAGATAACGGGAGAGGAGACAACTGATCCCTCTCCCAAATACAGGGGGACAGTACCCCTGACCCCAATAGTGCAGATGGGACTGCGGTCTCTGCACCAGACGTAAAGGGATGCTGGACGGCCGGTCCGGATCCCCAACCAAGCCCGCAGGAATACCAGGAGGAGGAAGGCAATTTCTGCTCTCCACAGCAGATTTCCTACCGGGTCCTGGGGTTAGTGGATGAGACGGCAATACCCACTGACCAGGGCCGGACTGGGAGAAAAATTCGGCCCGGGCATTTTTTTAACACAGCGGCCCACTAAAAAGGGGGCGGGGCAGAGGAGGTGTGTTTTGTCACCAATGACAGACACGCCTCCTCTCAAAGTGAGCATGTTGGTTCAATGCTCTTCCAGGGCAGACCATGCGCAGAGCTCTGCTGAAGAGCTCTAGCATGAGAAAAAAGTCCTGTATTTGTTTTGCACAGTGCAAGCAAATTTAATAACATGCTTGCACTGTGTTTCCTTGCAACTTGTCTCTGGTGTCTCTATAAATGGATACCAGGAGACAAAAGGCCAGGAAAGAGTATTGTGCATGTGTTTGGAGCCTGCTTGTGGTATTGCGTGTGTGTAGAGTGAGCTGGTCGTGGTGTGGTATTGTGTAATAAGGTCGGTTTTAGTCGTGTTGTGTTTGTGGTGTAATGTGATGCATATGTGGCTATGGGCTGTAGAGAATGTGTGTATTGGGGATATAGCAAGTGTGTGCATACAGGCTATAGTGTGTGTGTGTTTAGGGGTGTAGTATGTGTTTGCTTACAAGGAATCTAGTGTGTGTATAGGGGATCCAGAGTGTGTATGTTAAAGGACCACTATAGTGCCAGGAAAACATACTCGTTTTCCTGGCACTATAGTGCCCTGAGGGTGCCCCCACCCTCAGGGACCCCCTCCCGCCCGGCTCTGGAAAGGGGTTAAAAATTACCTTTTTCCAGCGCCGGGCGGGGAGCTCTCCTCCTCCGA